ATAAATTGGTGGCCAGAAACCTGTATGGAAATTGCATCTACGTAAGTGAACTCCAGCAAAGGATCAAAGTAAGTAACTCCAGCAAAGGATCACCGCCTTGTCGGGGCGCTGGAGCTTGAGCACCTCAATGATGTCATGAGCGAAACCGTGAAGGGACACCCAAGACGGGACGGTTGTGGCAGAGAGGTCAGACCAAGCGTGATCCCTGGGGAAGGCAATGGCAAACCACTCCAGTATCCTTGCCAAGAAAACTAAATGGACCAGTATACAACCAGAGATATTTCGGTATGCAATTGGAAGATGGGACTCCCAGGTTGGAAGATGGCCAAAATGCTACTGGGGAGAAGCAGAGGATAAGTTCTAGCCCCAGATGTGATGACGCAGCTAGCTCAAAGCCGAAAGGAAGGCTAGCGGCCGACGGTACTGGAGGTGAATGACGAATCCGATGCTCTAAAGATCAACACACCATAGGAACCTGGAATGTAAGATCTATGAGCCAGGGCAAATTGGATGTTGTTATTGGCGAGATGTCAAGACTTAAGATAGACATTCTGGGGGTCAGCGAACTGAAATGGACTGGAATGGGCCACTTCACATCAGATGACCACCAGATCTACTACTGCGGAAAAGAGGAACATCGAAGAAATGGAGTAGCCTTCATAATTAATAAGAAATTCGCTAAAGCGGTGCTTGGATACAACCCAAAAAATGACAGAATGATCTCAATTCGAGTGCAAGGAAAGCCTTTCAAAATTACAGTGATCCAAATATACGCCCCAACCACAGCTGCTGAAGAAGCAGAAGTAGATCAGTTCTATGAGGATCTGCAGGACCTACTGGATAATACACCAAAAAGAGACATTATTTTCATTACAGGAGACTGGAATGCCAAGGTGGGAAGTCAAATGACAACAGCGATCACAGGCAAGCATGGTCTGGGAGAACAAAATGAAGCGGGACGCAGGCTGATAGAATTTTGCCAGGAAAACTCGCTGTGTATAACGAATACTCTCTTTCAACAACCTAAAAGACGGCTTTACACATGGACCTCACCAGATGGTCAACACCGAAATCAGATTGACTACATCCTTTGCAGCCAAAGGTGGCGGACATCCATCCAGTCGGTGAAAACAAGACCTGGGGCTGACTGTAGCTCAGATCACGAACTTCTTATTGCCCAATTTAGAATAAACTAAAGAGATCAGGGAAAATACACAGACCAGTTAGATATGATCTCACTAACATTCCTAGCGAATATACAGTGGAAGTGAAGAACAGATTTGAAGGACTAGATTTAGTAAACAGAGTCCCAGAAGAACTATGGACAGAAGTCCGCGACATTGTTCAGGAGGCGGCAACAAAGTACGCCAAAGAAAAAGAAAACCAAGAAAGCAAAATGGTTGTCTGCTGAGACACTGGAAGTAGCCCAAGAAAGGAGGAAAGCAAAAGGAAACAGGGATAAGGGGAGATATGCCCAGTTAAATGCGCAATTCCAGAGGTTAGCCAGAAGAGATAAGGAACTATTTTTAAATAAGCAATGCATGGAAGTTGAAGAAGACAACAGAATAGGAAGGACAAGAGACCTCTTCCAGAAAATTAGAAACATTGGAGGTAAATTTCAGGCAAAAATTGGTATGATAAGAAACAAAGATGGCAGGGACCTAACAGAAGCTGAAGAGATCAAGAGAAGGTGGCGAGACTATACAGAAGATCTGTATAGGAAGGATAATAATATTGAGGATAGTTTTGACGGTGTGGTGAATGAATTAGAACCAGACATCCTGAGGAGTGAGGTTGAATGGGCCTTAAGAAGCATTGCTAACAACAAGGCAGCAGGAGACGACGGGATCCCAGCCGAACTGTTTAAAATCTTAAAAGATGATGCTGTCAAGGTGATGCATGCCATTTGCCAGCAAATATGGAAAACACAAGAATGGCCATCAGACTGGAAAAAATCAACTTATATCCATACCAAAAAAGGGAAATGCGAAAGACTGCTCAAACTTCCGTACAGTGGCCCTTATTTCTCATGCCAGTAAGGTAATGCTCAAGATCCTGCAAGGAAGACTCGAGCAATACATGGAGCGAGAGTTGCCAGATGTTCAAGCTGGGTTTAGAAAAGGCAGAGGAACGAGAGACCAAATTGCCAATATCCGCTGGATAATGGAGAAAGGCAGGGAGTTTCAGAAAAACATCTACTTCTGCTTCATTGACTATTCTAAAGCCTTTGACTGTGTGGATCAAAATAAATTGTGGCAAGTTCTTGGTGGGATGGGCATACCAAGCCACCTTGTCTCTCTCCTGAGGAATCTGTACAAGGACCAAGTAGCAACAGTCAGAACTGACCACGGAACAACAGACTGGTTCAAGATTGGGAAAGGCGTACGGCAAGGCTGCATCTCTCACCCAACCTTTTTAACTTGTATGCAGAACACATCATGCGATGTGCGGGGCTTGATGAATGCAAGGCGGGGGTGAAAATTGCTGGAAGAAACATTAACAACCTCAGATATGCAGATGACACCACTCTGATGGCCGAAAGCGAGGAGGAGCTGAGGAGCCTTCTAATCAAGGTGAAAGAAGAAAGCGCAAAAGCCGGGTTGCAGCTAAACGTCAAAAAAACCAAGATTATGGCAACAAGAATGATTGACAACTGGAAAATAGATGGAGAAACCGTGGAGGCCGTGACAGACTTTGTATTTCTAGGTGCAAAGATTACTGCAGATGCAGACTGTAGCCAGGAAATCAGAAGACGCTTACTTCTTGGGAGGAGAGCAATGTCCAATCTCGATAAAATAGTAAAGAGTAGATACATCAGACTGGCAACAAAGATCCGCCTAGTCAAAGCCATGGTATTCCCTGTAGTAACCTACGGATGTGAGAGCTGGACCTTAGGGAAGGCTGAGCGAAGGAAGATCGATGCTTTTGAGCTGTGGTGTTGGAGGAAAGTTCTGAGAGTGCCTGGGACTGCGAGAAGATCCAACCAGTCCATCCTCCAGGAAATAAAGCCCGACTGCTCACTGGAGGGAAAGATACTAGAGACAAAGTTGAAGTACTTTGGCAACATCATGAGGAGACAGCAAAGCCTGGAGAAGACAATGATGCTGGGGAAAGTGGAAGGCAAAAGGAAGAGGGGCCGACCAAGGGCAAGATGGATGGATGGCATCCTTGAAGTGACTGGACTGACCTTGAGGGAGCTGGGGGTGGTGACGGCCGACAGGGAGCTCTGGCGTGGGCTGGTCCATGAGGTCACGAAGAGTCGGAGACGACTGAACGAATGAACAACAACAAAGTGAACTAATGCGGGAATTAGAATCAGGGTGCTGTTAATGTTACTAACAGCACCCTGCCAGCAGTAACTGTTACAGAATGGGACCAATGCACAAATGGATATTAGGCACCAATATGCATTGAGAGTGATGTGCATCAGAGACTTTTGATAGTGTTCCAATATGGATCTTGACAATTTAATACTGATTTAATACTAATAAATAAATACTGATGTTTTTGATAATGATGTTTTTGGTTACTGCTAGATTGATATTTTAGATTGTGTCTTGAATTTTGAACCTTGTTTTTCTATGTTGTACACCGCTGTGAGTCGCCCCCGGGCTGAGAACAGCGGTATATAAGCAAAGTAAATAAATAAATTTCTTAGCTGCTCTGCTATACTGTATAGCCAAGAATATGTAGGTATATGCATTTATTATTATGTATAGGGAGCCCTTGGTGGCACACCGGGTTGAACCGCTGAGCTGCTGAACTTGCTGACTAAAAGGTCAGTGGTTCAAATCCAGGGAGTGGGGTGAGCTCCTGCTGTTACCCCCAGCTTCTGCCAACCTAGCAGTTCAAAAACATGCAAATGTGAGTAGATAATAGGTACTGCTTCTGCGGGAAGGAAACAGTGCTCCAAGGAGTCATGCCGGCCTCATGACCTACCAATATCATACGGCCTATTCTCAGTTTTGCTAATTCAGACTACTGGTTGTCTATGATGGCTGTTTTTATATTGTGTTATGCTCTTGTTTGTTTTTGTTTTATTTTCCTTTATGATGCTGTTTTATTAATGTTAATGTGTTATTTTGACTATGTTGATTGGACTTGTCCTGATGTAAGCTGCCCTGAGTCCCTTCCGGGAGATGGAAGCAGGATACAAAAATATTGTTGTTGTTGTTGTTGTTGTTGTTGTATGATACAGTATGTAGAATTTAGGGAATGGTGACGAGCCAACATCCATAATAAGCCACATTCTTGCATTGATTACAGAGACATATCTCTTACACTGAAATCAATGAATCTATGCATAACTTTGGCTAGATTATCCCTTTATAGCTGTGGGGTGCTACAAAAAATACTGCTGAAAGAACAAAGGTGCAAATTAAATGCATATTGTGCCCACACTGAAATCCCACTGGAATTACAATCTAATTCTATACTGGAATTATTTTCTTGCATTCCAAATGGAAAGTTGCATTCCAAATGGAAAGTTGAGCTAGTTCTTCTGCTAGCTCAATTGCAGCACATCTTGATGGTTCTCTGTCTACTTGATAGTGTTAATTAGTTCGATCTTACAATAGCAGCGTAACCATTTGGGGTTGTTTCAGACAAGAGCCACGTCAACAGCAGACTCCAAAAACTTAGATATTATACATTGGTGTCAGTTCACCAGTAAAACAGACACAACGTGATGAAAGAGACTTCCACATTCCTGCACCCCAATCTTTTCTGGAGGCCTGAGACACCCTCTAGATTAGATCTGTGGATGTATAGGTGGTACAAGAAGTGATATATGCAAAGTACCAGTCATATGATGTTGGATGCAGTTTCAGGAAACATAAATAAAGCAGTAATAGTACATAGATGTTCCTGCACACATGTTTTAGATTAGAGTGCCAGACATAATGAAAATAATGTCAATCTAAATAAAAGTTAATTAATTCCAGTAGCATTGTTAATGTGACTGTCATTGTTTTCATGTAAACACAATTGACTGTGTGAAGCTCATTCTGCTGAGAAACATGAAGAGAATGTATCAGTCCTAAATCCAGATATTCACAGCAACATGGAAGGGCAAAAATCTGCAGGGTCATCCAAGACAACTAGAAAAACAAAGGAAAAAACAACTGACAAAGCAGAAAAGGCTCTTAAAGAAAAGCCTCCATCTACCATTAGACCAGAATCACAGGTAGGAATAAATAAACAGTCGATTTTTTCACTGTTTTGTCTGGTATCTTTCTCCAGTTTCTGTCTAAGAGTGGATAGGAAATATGATAAAATATGTGGTTTAATGGTGATTGTTTTTTTTTCTATTTAAATTGATGTAAGGGCTAAAATTCTCCTTGTTTTGTACTAGGTGTCCTGACATACTGTGTAATGAAATGGAGTGTAAAATGTTCTCCTGTTTTAAAGCGCATTATATAATTCTTAATTTTGCTGAAGCAATTAAAATTTAATGCCCACCACTATTTGCATCATGAATGTCACAGTGATAAAAATCAAAATCCCTCCACACCAATACATAACCCAAATATCATCCACAGTTATTATCATCTCCCCTACACCAGCATCAGCCCATATTAGATCAGATTTTCACTTCTATACAACTCACTTGCATTGCCACATTTTTAAAAGTGTTCTCTGCTTCCCATCAGTTGAGAATCTATTTAAGTTTGCCAGTCATTCGTTGCTTCAGCCCATTTTTTTCAGGTGGCTAAGTGATATGCTAGACAGGGTATTTTTCCACAAAAACTCCATGGGTTCCCCCTAGTTTTTACGTTTCTTCTTGGTGCCCTCAAGTGTCTCCCATTTTGTGATACTATAACAGGCATGGGCAAATTTTGGCCCTCCAGGTGTTTTGGACTTCAACTCTCACATTCCTAACAGTTGTTAGGAATTGTGGGAGTTGAAGTCCAAAACACCTGGAGGGCCAAAGTTTGCCCATGCCTGCACTATAATATATAATATATTTGTAATATTAAGGGAGAATAAGAGGGAAAATACCTTAAGCATATGCCTTCAGAATCTTACGATACATTTTCAGCCTTTGTGGGTTACCAAAAAAGCATATGTGAGACATGCAAATAGTAATACAGAAATGTGTTCTTTTTAAAAAATGTTACTAGATTTTTCAAATAGTTAGTGACTGTACTACAGTTGTAAATAGCCACTTGCAGGATATATTTATTTTTCATTACCAGATAGGGAAGGTGAAAAGCCACTTATATTCTACAAATGGTAAAGGTTTTCCCCTGACATTAATTCTAGTCATATCTGACTCTGGGGTGTGGTGCCCATCTCCATTTCTAAGCCAAAGAGCCATAGACACCTCCAAGGTCATGTGGCTGGCATAACTTCATGGAGCACCGTTACCTTCCCACCGGAGCGGTACCTATTGATCTACTCACATTTGCATGTTTTCAAACTGCTAGGTTGGCAGAAGCTGGGGCTGACAGCAGAAGCTCATGCCACTCCCTGGATTCGAACCTGCGACCTTTCAGTCAACAAGCTCAGCAGCTCAGTGCTTTAACCCACTGCGCCACCCGGGGGTTAGGGGCTAGTAAAGACATAATGCTACCAAAACACTAATGGTTTAGTTATCAAGACATGCAACTTTGCAGACTTATTCCTCCAAGCCACTTGCACACATTCCTCTTGCCACTGTTAATCACATTTTAGCATTACATTAGCCTTTTACTAACCATAATTAAGAATACTTCTAAGCACCATTTAAGAAACTAGATTTTAAACTAGAAGTCAAACATAGCTTAATTATGAGCCATACATTACTCAATACTGCTGTCATCTGCCATAAGATATTTGCAGATCACAGCAGCAATTAAGTCATGTGAGATGGAAACTTCACTTTACAAAGCTGGACATACATACATCATAGGAGCAATTTACAATATTGGGTCATGCCACCCTTCTACATCCGTATCATCCTGTTGAGAGATCCAAAGTGATATATGCTCCTCGAATCTGTTTTTATTTACAGCAATCTGACCCAAACAAGCCCTTTTGGATCTTGCGTCTAGTCACAGAACAACAAGAGATAGAAGCTGTAGATTTGAGAAAAGATACAGAGAGAGCAGATGAGATCAAAGCAATGAAGCAAGCATGGGAAGCTGCAGAGCCAGGAAGGGCTGTCAAGGTAATGGGGGCTTAGCCAATTATGCATACATTTAGAAAGAAACTTTCTGAGAGCCAGCAGGGTTTGCTTTGTGGAAATGCCATTCAAATAGTTATCTTCCTGGAGTGATTTGTCAGTATCAAACACCGTGCTAAATGAGGCAAGATTGTTGTTGAGGTTGAGCCAAGAAACTGCTTTAGATAAATAATAATGGGAAAATATATAGTATATGACCTGATTTTCCATTGTTGTATTCCAGTGGGGAAAAAATAAGCATTTGAAATGTTGGAAGTTTACATTAGACTTTTCTATGATTTGGGAAGATCATTTGGGAAGATCATACCAGCAAGGTAGTAGCAATTTTAGTGACTTTACCGATGACTCACGAAGAAATGTATGATGAGAGTATGAATCTGATATCCAGTGTTTCTCTTTGTGGGATCTTGTCTGATGCTTGGGACATCTAAAGGCCTTGGCACATGGCTCTCAAAATTTTACCAAAATAAGTCGCTTTTTCATCAGAAAAATACTTTTTCAGTGTGAAAATCGGTCTTATGGGTCTTCTTAGCAGTTGTTCTCCCCCCCCCCCCATGGACACCATCCCAAAGTAGCCAAAATTTCCTTCTAAAATAGTCTAGAGGGCTACCAGAAGTTAACCATCATTATTTCCAGTTGCCACAAGTAGAAGCCAAGATGTATATTGTGGCTCTCCAGATCTCTTTAGGTTCTGGCATGTACAATACTGTTTGTACTAATGTACCAATACATTGAAAATTGATTTGAATATTCATATAAGTTAAAGGAATTCTCAATAGCTTGTATAATAAAACTGCAAGGCTAAGACTTCATTTAGGGAGTAATGCCCCATTAAGCTCAACGGAACCTGCCTACTTATGTGTAAATAGACGTAAGACTGCACTGTATTAAGAAATAATATTAAAATATTAGTTAATTCTTAATAGGGGATAACATGATCTGCTATGGCTCATTACATTAGCAATGCAGTTGCCCTTACCGTAGCCTACTAATTTTATCCCCCCTCTTTCTCCTTCCATATCCTGATGCTTCTGCTTTCCTTGCATGACCTTTATCTTGTGTTCTGATTTGAACCAGGTTGTCAGGAACTGTGTTATCACATCTAGAAAACAATCAGTCATGTATGCAGTTCCAATGCTTTGGCATTGTGCTGAACGGCTGATCACTGTGGGAATAAGTATGCTGAATGGATGCAGCTTTGTTCCATTACAGCAGGAAACATTTTAACTTTTACATTTTAACTGGGATTAATATTATTGAGGAAACACAGCAATTGTATGAGTTGCGAATGCTGACTTTATCACTCGTATTTTTGGTAAGCATTGCTAATCCGTTCTCATTTGCAGATGCTTCAAAAATAATTTGTTTTAACTCATGTTTTGTTAATATATCAAAGGGATTTTTTGTGTTTTTAGCAACTAGCAATTAAACAAATCTTACTATCATGCTGTAAGAGAAATACTGGGGGTTTTTTTTGGGGGGGGGGGGGTTGGCTTCTGTCATTCCAAGCCTGGCAGCTGAATGTTGTGACATGAATCATTCACCCACGTGTGTGCTTTAATTCAGTGAGTCATCTTCCAGTTTTCCAGGGAAAACTTCATCACATGTTGAAATAATTAAGTTACTCAGCCCCCAAATCTAAAATCGGCCATATGTTACATATTGCTGCCAGTGTACATACAGAACATCCATGATCATAGTGTCCATACAGTTGCAAAGACACTGAGCTTCCATGGTCCACAACAAATATGTGAAAGTGTCTGTTAAGCAGTCACAGCAAAATGAGTGACAGGGGAAACTACATTATGCTAGATCTGGCTATTTGTGCCCAGTGTTATCTAATCTGGCAGTAGTTCTGCAGGATGTATTGTATTATACCAATGAGCTTTAAATGCACCCATACATATCATAGGCTGCATCTCACTTGGGGCACCATTATAAGAGCTTACTACCCAATATGCTGAGCCAAGGCAGCTCACATTGATGTAGAAGGTTATTTGTGGCGCTTGTTTCTGAAAGGTACCAATCCATCTGAACCAATTTTACAGGAATTTGGGGGGGGGGGGGTTGCTGATATGTATTATTTTGCTATAAAATATAATTTTCCAAGCCCTGTAATGAAGTGATTTGATTCATTTTGCAAGTTTTCTTTTGTATATAATATTCTATCCTAGCCATCAATGTCCTGGCATCTATAACTCATTTGGTATATTTTGGATACAAATTGTGCATTTGAAAAGACTTCACAATGTTGCATAGTTTCATTGCAGAGCCACAGTCAGAGCTTACACAGTCACTTCACTTTGGTCTGCTTTAGGCAACTGCTTTGCGCCCAGTTTACCTGTCCAAATATATCTTGCCCTATGAACCATCTTGGAAATTAAGATCGCCCAGAGAAGCCCTGCTCTCAGTCCCACCTCATTCACAGGTGTGATTGTTGGGAACGAGAGACATGGCCTTCTCAGTGGAACTCCCTCCCCAGAGATATTAGATCAGCCCCTTCCCTCCTGACCTTCAGAAATGTGGCTTTGAGATCAAGCTTTTGGTGAATAGATGGACTTGGAATTATGTGTAATGATTACCGGAATGGCCTGGACTATGATTGCAGATAACGTGGTTTATAGTCATAATTGTATTTTTTTAATGTTTTAATGTTTTCTAATCTTGCTTTTACATTTTTAATTGAAATGCTTATTTGTTTGTATATTGGATGTATAGTTTTTTAAGGCATTGAATTATTGTCTATACTGTAAGCCTCCTTGAGTTCCCTTCGGGGTCAAGAAAGACGGGATATAAATATAGTAAATAAATAAATAAATGAACTGCCAATTCACATGAGGACTGAAGTGGTGTGTCACTTCCAAAAAACTGAAGATTTATACATCTTACTTTTAACTCTAATCAACAAATGAGTATAACTCTCTTTTTGGGGGGAGGGGGAGATGGAATAAATGGCTTCAGACAGCTGGAATATATGTATGTTAGATACAATCAACAGAAAGAATACTACTCACCATTAAAGATCACCCTGTTGTTTTAAGTCTGTTTATAATACCAGCCTAAAAATGGATTAAGTTGTTCAGTTGCCAGTGACTGGTATTGTCTTTGCCAGTCTTCATCTTCATCTTCAAATGCATAAAAGGGGAAAATATTGTAAATGTTTTGAAATAATTATATCAGCTTCATTATTATGTTGATAACATGTACAATTTATTAATCAATACTGATACATACCATTTACATAGCTTTGAATGTATCTTTTCCTGGTGACAACAAATGGCTTAGTAAGTCTTATATCTTGCTGTGTCTTTCAATTGTTTGTAATACATTTCTGTTCCCTAGGCTGCTCAAGAACGCATGCAGTTTGTTAAGAAATTCATGCAGAAAGGTTTTGTGGTGTCTGAAGCTGGCAGTATCAGTACACCAGTGGGCTCTGGAGAAACAGGCAAGTGCATGCCTACACAACACAAGCATCTTGTCTGAAAAAACCTGAAAGTAAAGGTTATCAGGTGTACAGTTTTCACAGAGGGTTGAAATTCTTAGGAAGGAAAATAGCATGCCATAAAATGAGACTCCTGGGTGTCTTTCATCAGATTGTGTATTTGGCAGAATTAAGGCTGTAATCAAGTCTCAGAGCACAGCAAGGAAATACACTCTGTATAAGTTTGCCTGCACTTCTCCTTCTCTTTCCCATGTTATGTGTTTTAAATGAGTGTCGAATAGCAAAACATTCTCTTCTTTCTTGGGTATGTAAGAGGGAAATACCACTTTGTGATACACTGGATCATAGTTAATAGCTAATTCTATCTCCTTTTGGGTTACTTTGGGTGAATTTTGACGAAAGCTTTCAGAAAGTGAGAATTTGGGGAATGATTATGCTTTTGATAATTTTTCCAGCCTCTGCTTCCCCTGCATCTGAACCAATGGTGTCCCCTCCAGTTGTGACTGAAACAAGCTTAGGAACTCAGCGAAAAGAATTGGAGGCTCCAGATATCACCCCTTACATTCGGTAAATCATAGCAAGTGCCATTTTTTAACCTTTGGCCAACACACTTTTTTATAAATATTAAAATGTTAAGAAATATTTTTTATCACCTGGTTGACTTGTGCCATCACAATAAGCAAGTCACTGTGTCTTCACCTTTCTACATAGACTAACACCTGAAGTGTAGAGAGCCATGAAATAAAGTTTACATAGTACCAGCATTTTGAAGAGAGCTATATAATTTCTCCTTTACCCTCAGAAAATCATTGTCAAAGCCTGTGCTGAAGAATGAGTCTATTATTCAAGAGCAAGAGATGCACAAGGCAGAAGAAATCAATCTCTTTAGACAATTTCGAGAGCTGGTTCTGGAACACAGAGCGCAAGAGCACATGGCTAGGAACCGCTTAAAGCAAAATGTACATGAAATGTATGAGAATCTTCAAGTAAGTCTAGATCTGCTAATTGTCTGAGTTTCCATCCTACTCTTAAACATACATGCCAGTTTTGTTTTGGCTGGGAGACTCTAACCAGTTGGTATTTTTCTCCATGAATTCATAAATTTAATTTGCCCTACTTTTGTTTGTGTCATCTATCCAAATCTGACATACTTACTTAAGAAGGATGAGAAGTATGATATGTGATTATAGCAAAAACCAAAAACATGTATGAACAAAAAGCTCTTAAGGCTACATTTTAAAAACATTTAGTGGTCTGCATCTGTTCATTAGACACTTAATAACCTTATGCGAAAAATCTGTTTGGGCTTTAGGCATACAAAGATACATTCTACATATCCCACTGTGTTGACTAAACAATAATACCATTAGTTCATTGTGATGATCGCTCCCATCACCACTGCTGTCTTCCATAATGGCCTATTCTTGCTTTTCTGTAAAAAGGAAACATATCTTGTATTAACAACCATTCATTTCTATTTTGGCATTGGTATGCAGAATTCTTCCTGATGACAGATAACAGAAAGAAAGTCATTATAATCTACTTTCAGTTGTGAGGTGAAAGATAACTTGCTGGTGACATCTCTATATTTTACTATTATTCATGTACATCTAATAAAGATACTCTAGTTTTGATCTAGGATAATCACTGAACTGAATAAGAACAAACATATTGAAACTTAATTCAAATAAGACAAGAAGCTATTTCAGTTCATAAGAAAATCTCATAAGAATTACATTTGAGTTACATTTAGGGTCACACTCAGTTTTCAGACACAGAATCATTGTTAGAGAATATTCCTAGATTCATTCCAGAACCCAATTGCCCTTGTGTGTTACATTGGGTTAATGCAGTACAGTTTAATTTCTTCCGTGACCGAGCTCTTATCGCAAAGTGAATTTTCCCATTGAAATGCACTGAAATGCTATTAATAAATTTCAGCCCCCTGAATACCCCCCCCGTGCATTTTTGTTATGTGTTTTAAAATAAGAAAATGTACTTTATAAATAACAAATAATGTATAAATGCACATTCAACTGGAACAATAGAAAAGAAAGATCAACTTTTAAATGGTAGAAACACTAAATTGTGGCAAGGAAGCACAAGGTGAAGAAGCAGAAGCATCATTTTCTTCATACTGTACTCATTCCAGCCTCCCTCTCTCTCCTGCTCTCTCTCCCTCTCCCTCTTCATGAAACCAAATATACTAGGAATAAAAACCACACAAAATCAATTAACCAAAGTTCCACAAAGCTGACAAGAGCCAAGCAGACAGCAATGTTCTATAGCAGACAAGTGCACTAGGCACATAGGCTGCACCCTTGAAGTCCTGTTCTCTCGCACTCGTGTTCCCTCTCATTTTGAGCTAGCTGGTACTAGCTCAAAATGCTGCTCTTATGTTAAAGCAAAACCTGGGCAGAGTGACAAGATAAAAAATAAGAATTCATTTTTAAAGGCTTTTACAATATTAAAATGTTAGAATATTTGTTGTTCTAACAAATTAAGTAAATACAAATTATGAAAAGACTCATGTTGCCCTTTTCTAAGGTACCATTTTTTGATATTTACATTTGAAAAGATAAAAAACAAGTTCTGCTATATGTGATTGCTAAATAGTATGGGCAACTAAGCAGAAAATATTGGGATAAAATATGATTCCATCTAATTGTATAGATAGAGATCCCAGGAACTAGTGAGTCATTTAAAATATTACTAGAGATACATCTACACTTAAATACTTAAAGACTGATTTGTCCTCAATGGGCATACTTGTCTTTGCCTAGGCATCCTTGGATGAAGCACGAGGTAAGGTTTTCAGCATCCGGGAAGCATACAGATCTAAGTTACTAGAAGCTGAGCGTTTAAGACAAGAAGCCTTAGCAGCTGAAGAAGCTGCCCTTCGAGCAGAACAAGAAAAGAAAACCCCAGATGTACAGAAGAAAAAGGGAGCAAAAGGTGCAAAAGGTACAAAAGGCAAAGGGAAGAAAAAGTAGTTTTTGCTGAAAATCAACTGCACAAACTACTTTGCTGATTGGAAACAGTGATTGTTTTTTAATAGTATTTTAAAGAGTATGGCTTTGGTTTGTTTTGTTTTTTCAAAGTTCATTTATTATTACATCATCCTTTTTAAAATGATGCTTCTGATTTAAAATTGTATGAATACCTTTTTTACAATTGTTTTTTACCCCTTAAGGGCAATAAATGTTTGCAATGAAATTGTTTGCATGCCTTTCAGCATTTTCAGCTTGTTTTCAGAATGAACTAAAATAAAAGTCAAGAAGAAAGTGCAGTTTGAGTGAAGAGTATTTCACCCCTCCGTCATTCTGTTGGGCCAAAAAGTGAATATATTATTAAGGCACAAATTGAGAAATGTTCAAACCCTTCCATTGCCCCTTGCACTTCTTTTTCACCAAACTCCAGACTGCCCCTTACCTCGATGTTCACTATTTTTACAAACCTGGCACAGAAACACTCATGTTGAAAATACAAAATAAAGTAATTTGAACAAGCTTGTGCATGGTAGAAAAATCCTCATAGGAAACCCCAATACTGGAATTGCTGATTCATAGAATTGTAGAGTATGAAGAGAGCACATAGGCCATCCAGTCCAAGCCCCTGCTATGCAGGAAAAGCACAATCAAAGTCCCCCTGACAGATGGCCATCCAGCCTTTGTTTAAAAGCCTCAAAGGAAGGAACTTCCACCACACTTCTAGGCAGAGAGTTCCACTGCTAAATAGCTCCTCACAGTTAGGAAGTTCTTCCTAATGTTCAGGTGGAATCTTCACTATTATCTATTTGTTTTGTAGAGTTGAAAAGTTTTAATGGAATGATCTCAGCCAAGCTTTTTAAAAAGAAAAAAATAGGATTTCCGAAATAATGATGGAGTAGCAGAAATATGTCTAGGTTAAGCCACACAGATGCCAGAAATGTCTAACTGCATAGTTTGGGGAAAAATATATTAAAAACTAGAGGTTTTCATAATATCTGAGGGAATTTTTACAAGTGATTCAAGCATATTATTTAATGGAATTTTTCTTCTCACCTCAATTCTGCACAGTTGCAAAAAGCCCAAGAGCCCGGTGTCATCTAAGCCTTCTTCTGTGCCTTTCCAGGGCTCTGCTTCCCAGGCTTCCCCAGCTCCCATACTCAGAAGTAGCCATCTCTTTAAATTGAGGCATTGTAGGGATTAGTCTGGACAAATTTCTAGAAGTATCCTTCTTCCTAGAAGATTCTTTAATTTATAGTGAATGAAGATATATAAGCAATATTAGCTTTTAGATAACCTCTGGTGGTAAAGCCTTTTCCAAGAGTTAATTTTGCCTTGATATCCTGATTCACAATACAGAACAACATTCTTATTTGCTAATGCATTATAGAAGAAGCACTCTTGTTGACCTTGGAAAGGGAATATTTATTTATTTATTTAAAACATTTATACCCCGTCCTTCTCGCTTTCCATGGAGAGACTCAACGGCTTCTAAACAGGCAACAATTTGATGCCAAACATAATATAAAACACGTAATAAATACACCCTCAAAATTAAAATAATTCTAAATGCCTGATCACATAACCAGGATTTAAGCTTCTTCCGAAAGGTCAGGAGGGAGTTCCACATATCCTTAGATGCTTACAAATATGTCCATATAATATGTCAGTTAATATTTGGTGTGTTTGGAGATACTGTGCTCTTCATAATGTCATACACTGCTACAAAGAGCCAGAAAATGGGCTTTCTACAAAAATGTGGATCTCTTCTCATCATGAGAAAATATTATCTGTTGCTTCTACTTGAATAATTCATATACAACCAGCTAATTGTGAACATCATTTGGAAGGGTTGTCCAAGAAGAGTAATGCTAAAAACTACAGGCGTTGTTCAGTGAAGATCAATGTCTCAGGACAAGTCTGATTCATCAGAATTGGAAAGAAATCAAGAAAGATAATTCTGCTTAGTTGAGCTGTAGAAGTTTCAATCTGGATTTCATTTACCTCCAGTGGCACAAACATTAGCTTGCAAGATTTGGTTGCCTTGTCACTATCTTTTTACTCCTGTGTAAGACTTTCCATCTCATTGTCCTAGAACTTCACAGAGAAGAGGAAGAAAGATATAGACTGCAAAACAGAAGTCTGATAGAATATTATATTTCTGGATGCAAATGTTGGAGAAGCGTTTTTCCAGGGCAGTAGCACTTTGTACCTTAAAAAGGCCATGCAAAGCAGATCTCTACAGCGTATGCTATCTTTCCTTGCATGTCCAAAGAACTGGGACTGTGTGGGCACATTCCACTAGTTTCATGGCTTCAACAACAGTCTTCCAGGTGTCCTCTTCACTGAAGAGAACACGTAGGGCAGTAGGTTGGAAGGACCCTACCACAGCCATAAAGCACTATAAGCTTGACAGATACAGCTCAGTTCAGGTGGCATTTGGAAGCACAGTGTTACAGCCAGGTAAGGGGCAGCCACACTCATTCATGAAGTATGGGTTTGCAAACATCCCAAATGCGAGTGGATTGTTCATGCAGTCAACCAGAGAATGATGAACTACTAAGCTAGAATACCAGATCAGGAAAGATGACACACAATCAGTAGAGCATCTGCATGGTCATCAAGTAAAATGAAAAAGCACCCATCAGATAACGTTTCCTTACACAAAAAAAACATGGCACAAAGGCACCTATACAAAGTGCAAATCTCTATAATAGAAATGCAAGCAGACAATAAGGATAAAACAAAACAAAAAAGGAGAAGGTGGTTTGAAATATTTTAAGTGGACAAACAAATCGTTTTCACGATGAGTTCTATGCAGCAATATTAATCATAATAGAACCAAGATAGAGAGGGCAAATTTGCTACAACACTTCTAAAATGCATAGTGGGAAATTGGCTGTACTTCTAGAAAGCCCTTTGGTCTAAATCCAGTTACTAGGCAATAGGTTTATTGTGGTTTGGGCTAGAAATTAAATTTAACCCACAGCTGCTCTTCTATACACCAAAATCATGAAATGGGGTTGAACTTTTCATGAGAAGTGAAATTATTGACAGCAAAGTCCTTTGATTAAGAAGCATTGCAGGAATTCTCTTGAAAGAACCTGATCAGTCAAGCTTTGCACTGTCATTGAGAAAAGTGAGCAAAACATCCCTGTTTCATCAGGGATTTGCTAAGTATTGTTTAGTGAGGCTGGTGAGTTTTACTTATTGTGTAATACATTTCACCTGCTTTCTGGGTACTTAAAGATATTCGGGTTAATTTTAAAGGTGTATATATATTTGTTTGAGCTATGCAGCAAGCCCATATGAATGGTGGAACAAGTTATTTGATTGAAGAGTGAACCAGAAAGGAGATGTGAAAAACTGACCAAGAGAGCCCTCATGAAGTGGGGTTTAATTAGTACCCTGATAAGAATAGTAATCCCAGAAACCATCTGTGTGTGCCTGTTCAATTTTCTGTCAATGGACTGCAGTTTGTGGATATATTCCCATTTATTTTTTCAATCTTCCTTTGTAATTTTTTTTTGTTTAAGGACTGCTGTTCTGACTTCCAAGATGGGATGCACAAGAAGATTGAAGTATTGTACAACTGGTTTTGATATATTCCCATTCCTAATGTCTGATTTATGCCCATCTGTCCTCTGCCCCAGAGACTAGCTAGCTTGGCCAATTTCGAGCACCGAAGGGGTATGAACAGGAAAAGGTTCTGTGAATGGGTATCACAATTATTACAGGATGCTGTGTTCTTTTGTGCATTACAAATCCTCTTTCTTACAACATACACAATTATGCAGTACTAGAAGAATGAGCACATGGAAATCCTGTATTGCTGAATTCTCTCACACTTCACAGTTACAGCACTTGGATTCCACATTAAATTCTATTGGTGCATCCTGGGATTTCTCATTTGGTGGGGCACTATAACTCTCAGGCAGAGAATGCTAATATACCTCACAAAATAACAAATCCCAGAATTCCATGGCAGTTTAAGTGGTAGCAATGTGCTATAATCATGGGGTGCAAATGTTACAATTGACATTGCACTATATATTCATATATAAATCTAGAAATTTTAGTCAAAAACCAACCCAAAAAGCCTCATCAACCTATCCATAGATCAGTGTAAGCATTGTACCTTAACTTGTTTTTTTAAAACCATGCCTTCTCTGAGAAGAATGGCAAAAGAAGAGACCTTCGTCCATCCCAAAAGAACCTAAACGAAGCACCAACCCCCTCTATTCTCTGAACTGTGATGCCACTTCTGACATTTTTGAATGCCTGAACAGGGAAATGGCAGCAGCCAGAGTGGCTGGCACTATGAGAGCATTTGTGCTTTTCCCTCTCTGGAATGACTAACTTATCCATAAGTCATATCAAAATCCATAATTTTGGCCTCAAAACCTGCACAACTATGGAAACTGGGGGAGTCCTGTCCTGTATTTTATTTGGCAATCCTAACTGTGACCCTGTGACACTAAAGAAAGAGCATAGCTGGTTGATGAACATGTTATTGTCAGCGATGATAGCGCTATGTTACAAAATTTGAAAAAAAAACTGTTTCTGGTTTGAAAGTGTTATTTCCTGTTTAATTATGTGGTACTTACTCTAGAAACTCCATTTTTGTGGCTGCCGTAAACTATGTTGAATTGGTTGAGGCTATATGAGATACTCATTGAAAAACTATAGCAAAACAAAGTTTTTGATGTTTCATAAACTTTTTCATGTTTTTTTAATGATAGAACCAATTATAAAATGACATTTATAACCCAGGAACAAAAATGTGTATGGGATCTACTTTTAGATTAATATGTATGACAATTGATCATTGAGAGATTGCACTTGATGGGATGGCTATTCTCCAACTGCTGCGCTCACATGTTCAGTCTTGCTTAGAATGGGTAATTTGCATATACGTATTTGTATGTGTGCATGTAGAGGACCTCCAAGTATGGAAATAAGGTTTTGTGACAGATTTGTTTTCATATGGATGTATTAAAAATCATAGCTATAGCTACCAGGTTCAGTAGAAATCATGTATTTTGCTATCTTTTTTTACCATTAAAATCACTTGCACACTCTATTCTCTTTTTCTGGAACTGAGCAATAAGGATAATGATCTTTGAGGCAACTAAATTTGTATTTTCAACCATGAGAGATATATGTTTATATTTCAGTAGCAAGTCACTTGGATGTAGCTCTTGTTTTCTTGTAATAATTGCGAGTCTGTATCAAGGAGTAGTATTTGTTCTTTCACCACAATTTTTGGAATGGTTCAAT